ACCAATTTAAATTTAAAATCATTTTAACTGTGGGATACACAGCAGGAGATTTTGGTTGGGGGAGTAAAATGGGGAGGGAGTTTTGAAATTTCAAAAAAAAAGCAGCAACAGGTTGTTACAATCCCCTAGTGGGACACACAAGTTTACTTATGGAAACAGGGTTAGCCAGAACAATCTTAATAACAGACAGTGGACATGGCCCCTGATTTTCCCCTGTGACGCCAGCAGGGGTTATCATTAACAGATGAGATAACCTGAGATAACCGAGGCCTCGAAGAGACAGCCAGGGGCTTCTGAGCAGCTTTCTAAAACTCCTGTTCAGGGCTGCCTGGGAGATGCAGGCAGGGCCTGGGAACCTGCAATTCTGGAAATGCTCCCTGGCGCCAGGAGCCTGGGTGGGTGCCTCCCTGGAGGTTGCACAGCAAGCAGGGAGCCCAGGTTTTCTAAGCAGTTCTCAATGGGGCGATTTGGCCCCCAGTGGGCATTTGGCAGGTCTGGAGACATTTCTGGTTGTCATGACTATGGGGTGTTCCTGGCATCTAGTGGGTAGAGGCCAAGGATGCTGCTCAGCATCCTTCAGTGCACAGGACAGTCTCCACCACAAAGAATTATCTGGCCCCAAATGTCAGTCATGCTGAGCGTTAGAAACTGCAATCTAAGCTTGCTTAGTGAGGACCTGCTGCCCTACCCGAGCCCCCAAATCCAGTGGTGTGCTGACCAAGAGCACCACCCCTTGTGCTGCACCTGTGGGTCCTCCCAAACCTCTCCAGAAGCCCCCCTTGGTGCCTGCCCTAGTTTCCAGGGCACCATTCACCCCATCTGGGGTAGGTGCTGGGGCTGGGAGGCTTGTCTTTCCCCATGAAGGCTGGCATTTGGTCTGCCAGCCTGGCTGACGTGGGCCGGAGTTGGGGGGACGGTGGGAGTGGGTTGTAGATTCTTAGCTAAGCAGCTTGCACCGCCCTAGAACCAGCTACCATGGCAACCCCGACAATGGGTCAGCGTGGTAACCCTGGCAACCTCAGCCAGTCTGGGACTTGGCGACATTCTCTAACGGTGGTGGGGACATTCCTAGGTGCATAAACAGTCCTCTGAGGGCGGCATGACCAGTTCCGAACCTGTCCACCAGCCCCCTGTGTGAGCTGGCTGGGCCACTCTGGGTACTCGTGCATTCTAGGAGACTTCATCCATCAAGGCAGGCCGGGGGCAGGCTGCTCCGGAGGGGCTGGCACCTCGGACATCGTGTCCACCTCTCCAGCTTTGAGGTCCCTGTAACCTGCCCTCAGCCACCCCTGCAGCCTTCTGTGTCTCTAGTAACACTTCTTGTCTTAAAGTCTATCCTGTCTGATGTTAGTACAGTAACTCCAGCTCTCTTCTGGCTACTGCTTGTGTGGAATATCTTTTTCTATCCTTTAACTTCCAACCTATTTGTCTTTGAATCAGTGTGTCTCTTGGAGACAGCATATAGTTAGATGATCTCTGCTTTTTGTGCGTGTGGTAAAACACACATAACAATACTAAAGTGAACAATTCGGTGGCAGTTGGTACATTCACAGGTTTGTGCAGCCGTCACCACTATCTAGTTCCAGAACATTTTCATCGCCCCAGAAAAAAACCCATACCCACCAGCACTCAACTCCCAGCCCCCGGCAACTGACATTTTCTGTTGCTACGGACTTTCCTATTCTGGGCGTTGTCTATGAACAGAATCATGCAGTGTGGTTCTCTGTGCCCGGCTGCTTCCACTGAGCACGAAGATTTATGGCTCACACCGTGTCGCTTTGCCTCTCGCCTGCATCAGCCCATCTCGGCCAGAACGGACGTCCAGCTCTGTGCTAAGCAGTTCCCATGCTTTATCTTGTTTGGTTTTAATTGTTGTAACAATCCTGGCAGGAGGAGGCCGTGGCCATCCCTCACCCCTTCCAGGGGGTAAGTGGCATCTCAGCACCCACAATCCTATGCCTTCCAGCTACCCACTCGGCTCAAGTTGGCACTGGCTCCCCATTTTCTAACTCTGTGACCTCGAGTGGGTTACTTAACCTCTCTGTGCCTCCATTTCCTCATCTGTAAGCACGGGATAATGACAGCACTTTCCTCTTAGAGTCGTTAAGAAGATTAAAGGAGTGAACAGATGGAGCATCCTGCTCACCTGGCATGCAGTGAGCGCTTGTTCTCAAGATCATTCCCCTGGGGAGGGAGCCAGTGGAGGAGTGAGGGTGAAGGGGACAGTGAGGAGAAGAGGCACAAGGCCCAGGAAAGTCAGGCTGGTGGACTCTGTTCTGTGCTTCTCATGGCCTATAGAGTCTTTGAGTTCTAGGAAGGGATCTTGCATTGTCTGTTTCTGTCACCTCTACAAACACCTGCACCAGGGCTCCCACCTTTTTCAGCCCCCAGGTTGGACGTAAAGCCTGGTGGTCCCTGTGTATTGATAGCTTTGGGGTGCCTGCCAGTCCAGGCAGTGGGAATGGGCCCCCAGGAGCTCTAATTCTTAGGCACGACCCTGCCTGCCTGGCCAGGAGTGGACACCTGACCCCAGGTGTGCCATCTCATTCTCTTACCCAAAAATTATAACCAGAAGACCCGGAGACTGGCAGCTGGAAGCTGAGACAAGTTAAGGGCTGTTTTTAAGATGCAGGAGATCTACGAACACTTCCTCCCTTTGAGGTCTGTCCACCCACTTCTTCCTTGGTGCCAATGAGAAACCCCAGCGTCCTTCAAATAATACACTGCTTTTGTTTAAAAAGAGTCTCAACCCAGGAATTCCCTAGTGGTCCAGTGGTTAAGACTGGGTGCTTTCACTGCAGGGACCCCGGGTTCAATCCCTGGTTTGGGAACTACAATCCTGCAAGCTGCACGATGAGGCCAAAAAAAAGAGTCTCAAGCCAAATGCCCAGCAACAGGTGAATGGTTAAACCCAATGTGGTCTGTCCCTACAATAGAATACTATTCAGCCATAAAAGGGAGTGAAGCACAGACACAGGCTACAATGTGGATGAACCTGGGAAACATGACGCTCAGTGAGAGAAGCCAGACACAAAAAGCCATATATTGTATGATTCTATTTATATGAAATGCCCAGAATTGGTAAATCTTTAGAGCCAGAAGGCAGATTAGCATTGTTGGGGTGGAGGGAGGAGGAGTGGGGAGTGACGAGGACACAGGGTTTCCTTTTCGAGCCATGGAAATGGTTTAGAAGGGGACAGAGGTGGTGCTTGCACTACACTATCAATGTACCAAATGCCACCCAGCTGTTCACTTTATGTTAGGTGACTCGCACCTCAATTTAAATAAGAGGAGTGTTAACCTAAGACATCCTGGAATGACTCCTCCGTGTGATGGATGTTCTCTGTTGCCCCCGCACATCCATCCTCTGCCCCTACTCAGTGCCCTCAGAGGCTGACCCACAGGCACTGCGCTCTCCACACCCCGGGTGCTCTGACTTCTGGCCCTCTTGTTTGGCCAATGGGAGGAAGGGAGGAGAGAGAGGCTGGGGTATTTATTCTTCAAAATCCAACTCTTCCCCAAGGCTACGGCTCCTGATGGATAACTGTGTGCTGGGTGGGGAGGCAGGGGAGCAAGAGTTCCAAGGTGGGTCCTGAATCAGAAGGCCTCAGCTCATCCCTGTTCCCCGGTCACTGGCTGCTGCACCCGCAGCAAATCAATGATATTTCTTTTCCTTTATTTTTTTTAAATTGGAGTATAGTTGCTTTACAATGTTGTGTTAGTTTCTGCTGTACAATAAAGTAAATCAGCTATATGTATACATATATCCCCTCCCTCTTGGACCTCCCCCCCCATCCCACCCATCTAGGTCATCACAGAGCACTGAGCTGAGCTCCCTGTGCTATACAGCAGGTTCCCACTAGCTACCTATTTTACACATGGTAGTGTACTTATGTCAATCCTAATCTCCCACTTCGTCCCACCCTTCCCTTCCCCCCTATGTCCACATGTCCGTTCTCTACATCTGCGTCTCTATTCCTGCCCTGCAAATAAGTTTGTCTGTACCATTTTTTTAGATTCCACATATATGTGTTAAGATGTGATATTTTTCTCTTTCTTACTTCACTCTGTATGACAGAGTCTAGGTCCATCCACATCTCTACAAATGACCCAATTTTGTTCCGTTTTATGGATGAGTAATATTCCATTGTATATATGTACAACATCTTCTTTATCCATTCACCTGTCGATGGACATTTAGGTTGCTTCCACATCCTGGCTATTGTAAAAAGTGCCGCAGTGAACATTGGTGTGCATGTGCCTTTTTGAATTATGGTTTTCTCAGGGTATATGCCCAGTAGTGGGATTGCTGGGTCATATGGTAGTTCTATTTTCTAAGTGTCAGTTTCCTCACCTACAGGTCCTCAATTATTTTTTTTTCATTGAGGTGAGATTCACATAACATACCATTTGAGGGCTTCCCTGGTGGTGCAGTGGTTGAGAGTCCGCCTGCTGATGCAGGGGACACGGGTTCGTGCCCCAGTCTGGGAAGATCCCACATGCCATGGAGTGGCTAGGCCCGTGAGCCATGGCTGCTAAGCCTGCGCGTCCGGAGCCGGTGCTCCGCAACGGGAGAGGCTACAACAGTGAGAGGCCCACGTACCGCAAAAAAAAAAAATACCATTTGAAAGTGTATAGTTCAGTAGCATTTACTGCTTTCATAGTGTTGTGCTCTATTTAGTTCTAAAACCTCATCACCACCCCAAAAGGAAACCCTAAGCAGTCCTTCCCCATTTCCTCTCCCTCCAGCCCCTGGCAACCACCCATCTGCTTTCTGTCTCTACGAATGTGCCCACTCTGGACATTTCACACAGTGTATGGCCTTCTTTCCTCTACACTGATGAAGGATGGAAACTTGGAGCTTCGGTTCTGCCTGAGTCCAAACCCAAATTCCTCTCCTGGTTAAGGGCAGGGCCCTTCATCAGGGGCACCAGGTAGGGGTGAACAGCCTGGCAGGAGAGCCAAGGGGGACGGCAGCTTCTGGAGTCCAGGCGGCTTACCTTGGCCATGGCTTCCTCGTTGCCCTCCACTATCCGGAGCTTTATCAGGTTCCATAAGTCCTGGGCGGGCTGGCCAGTGCCCTGGCTGCCCTCCAGCAGCTGGGAGGTGGAGGGCAGTTCCTGCAGCACGGCCAGCTGGTTCTCCATCTTGTCCACATGGCTCACCAGGTGGTCGAAGATGTTGCCGAGCCTCTTCATGGGGTTAAGGATGGGCTGGGAGTCTCCTTCCCGGGGCATGAACATGGCTGGCGAGGTGTGGAGGAAGTCCTCATCCGCCGAGAGGACCTTCTCAAGGTCAGCCATGTGGATGTGCTCCAGGATACCCTGGAGTAGGAGGTGCAGGGCCTTGAAGTTCACCACCCTGCACTGTGGGACGGCGATGTTGACCAGCTCCGAGAACGTGAGCGAGAAGCTCATTCTGCCGGGGTTAGGGGCCGGCTGGGCTGGCCTTCTGGGAGTCCATGGGGACAAACGGTGGCTTTCAGTGGACCCGCAAGCTGTACGGACAGGTCCTCAGGGGCCCGGGGAGCCTGCAAGTCACAGTGGTCAGGGAGAAAATGGCCTCTGTCCCGGCTGGAGCTCAGATGAGTTTCCGGTTGCTAGGACACCAGAGAACGTGGGTGAGCGGGCAAGCTTCTGAGAGCCTGGGGTGGGCAGAGCAGCTGCCCAGTTAATTGTTGAGGAATGTTCCAACAGACCAACAGGCCGCCTTTTAATTCAAGCCCTTCAGTTTTGTAACACCAATGACCCCTTCCAAGAAGCATGCAGGGGGCGTGATGGAGAGGCAGCTCGCTCCTCGGAAGCCTCCAGAATCAGGACAGAAGACAGGGTTCTCGGAGTTAGGAAACCCCAGCTTCCCATAATGGAAGCCCAATGAACCGGGCGGATGTAAATTTGCTAGTGGATCCCAAAGCCCTGAATTTCTCCTTGTCTAACCAACAGGAATTTGTATTGGAACAGACACTTCTTGCAGCATCAGTATAAATACCACGGGTCAAGTACACAGCTCATAACTGGCCTCCAAAAAAAAGTCAATGGGGTCAAGTACACAGCTCATGACTGACCTCCAAAAAAAAAGTCAATGGGGTCTCTAGGGAAAGATGAGCCTGACTCTGGGGCGGTTTTCAGGGCCTGGGTTTGGCAGTCGAGGTCTCTGTCTTCCGGATCTGGTACCACAACCAACAGCCAGTTTTGTTTCTGACATCTGCCTGTGTTGTGGTGGCTGATGTCTGCTGTCCAGAGCCTTAAGTGCAGCAACTGCCCCATGAGAGGACTGGACAGCTCACATGCACAAAAGTGGGAGGTCTAATCACACACAGTCCAGCTACAAACCTCCTGACCTGCATGCTTTGTCAAGGGCAGAGTTCTGGGTATCGAGATGAGCGGCCTGAGGGCTGACCTCGTCTGCCCTCAGCTAGAAGGGGCACGGGGGAGGAGAGAGGCAGTGTGGACGGGAAACTGGCCCAGCTGGGGGGGCCTTGGTCCACTTCAGTGAAGGTGACTTCCCAGAAGCCCCAACCGACAGGGCCGCTCTGCCTGTGATGGGCTCAAGGCCAAACAAGGCCAGTAACAGTCATGTCTGAACTCAGACAAGAACAGAACGTCATCCAAACTACAAATATGACCATGTGGCCCCCGTCCTGGCTGAGCCGAGTGACTGCTGCTTCTCGACCAGCTAGACCGTTAGCTTTGCTTCATTCCTCCGGCCTTCGAGATAAGACTGGTTAAAATACCATAGAACTAACCCTGCTTCCTGACAGCACCAACCCAGAATGCTCCCCGCATCGCCTGACAAGGGCCAAATCCCAGAACAAGTCCTTCTACCTTAACCCTCTTGTGACATGTCCCTGGGATCCCCACTGTGTTGTTAGACTAAAATTTCCTTTTTCTTTTTCTTTTGGTGCACTGTGTGGCTTACTGGGTCTCAGTTCCCTGACCAGGGACTAAACCCAGGCCCTGGCAGTGAAAGCACCGAATCCTAACCACTAGACCACCAGGGAACTCCCCATAGACTAAAATTTCAACTGCTGCCTTGACATCTTTGGGTCTCACAGGCCCTCTTGGTTTCCCCTGCTCTTGTCAGAGGTGCCCCCCACCCAGCAGGGAAGGCCCCCCACCCTGCTAGTTCCCCCACCAGCCAGACCAGCTGCACTCCACCCCGTCCTCATCCTGAGGGGCTTCGGTTCCCTGCCAGCCTGTGAAATTATTCAAGCAAGTCCATCATATCCTCCTGTGGGAACCAGGGGAGACCCCCACCCCCCATTACTACAAAGACTGCACCCACAGCCCTTGCTGGTTCCCTCTGCTTCCTAACTCCAAGAACTCTGTCTTCTGTCCTGATTCTAGAGGCTTCCACCAGGTGGCCCTCGGTGTCCTCTTCCCCCAGCTGTGAGTATATGCGTGGATCTCACCTGTCCAGGGCCAGGTGTGGTACTATTGAGGGTGGGGTCCCTTCCTACCAAGGGGTGAGCGGGAGGTGATCAGAACAGGCACGCTGTATGTTCTCCCTTATGGCAACAAGTCCATGAGGCCAACTTTGCTCAACTACAGCTGGGTTCCCGGTGGTCTCGGCTGGAAGGACAAGACCTTAGAGAAAACCTTCAGTGGCTGGAGCTTTTTGGACTTCCGACCGGCAGACTGGGGACTGTGGCACTGTATTATGGAACCAGAAGCAAGACCTGCCCAGGTGGGTGAGGGAAGGTAAGGGGGGGTGAGTGAAATGGGCTGCTTAGTGTAGCAGCAAGGCTGGAGGGGAGAGCATGGGGCCAGACTACACGCCCCACAGGCCTTACCAAGAAATGTGAGAGACAGAATCTGAAGCAATTCTCAGTCACTGGGGGCCAGGCTGGGCAAGCTGGTGTAATGACAAAGTGGCTCTTTGTCATTTTGGGGGGGATGCCTGGCATATGAAACCATTCCTGTGTCTGGGGAAGTCTCCACTGTAGGAGTCCTGGTGGGCAGTGGAGTGTTACTAGGCCCCAGCTTACTCTGAGGCTAGGACACCAGCATTTAGGGAAACGTCACAGTCGGTGCTGGCAGCTCCTGCAACCTCAAAGAAACTCACCTCACAGAGCCCAATCTGGTCTCAGAGCTTCAAGATAAGGGCTGCAAGCCCACCACAGAGATGCTGATATACTTCTCAGAACCTGGCACTGGACCTGACACTGATTCTTCATTCTCTCCTTCAACCAATATTTATTGAGCACCTACTGTGTGCCAGATGCTGCTCTTAATCATGGAGGAGACCTCAGTGAGGCCTGAGGAGGTCTCTGATCTCACAGAGCGTACAGGTTAGTGGGGGAGATGGACACTTATTTTACAACAAAGAAATAACTTCAGGTAGTGAAAAGAGTTATAAACATAATAAAACAGGGCAGGGAATACCCTGGTGGTCCAGTGGTTAGGACTTGGCACTTTCACTAATATGGCCTGGGTTTAATCCCTGGTCGGAGAACTAAGGTCCCACAAGATGCACAGCACAGCCAAAAAAAAAATTTTTTTTAATTAAAAAAAAAAGGGACTTCCCTGGTGGCGCAGTGGTTGAGAATCCGCCTGCAAACGCAGGGGACATGGGTTCAAGCTCTGGTCTGGGAAGATCCCACATGCCGTGGAGCACCTAAGCCTGTGCGCCACAACTACTGAGCCTGTGCTCTAGAGCACGCGAGCCACAACTACTGAGCCCACGTGCCACAACTACTGAAGCCCACGCGCCTAGAGCCTGAGCTCTGCAACAAGAGAAGCCACCGCAATGAGAAACCCATGCACCACAACGAAGAGTAGCCCCCGCTCACCGCAACTAGAGAAAGCCTGCTTGCAGCAATGAAGACCCAACAACAAAGACCCAATGCAGCCATAAACAAACAAATAAATAACTAAATCTATAAAAATACAATAAAAGAGGGAAAAATGAGAGTGGGGGATGGGCATTAGTAGGCTTATTGGAGTAGCCAGCCTCCAACATATACTCCAAAGATAGCCCCTGGGATTCACACCCAGTGGTCTCCCCAAGCACTGTACCAGCTAACCTGGTCCTGGTCCCACCAGCCTGCATCTTGTACACACATGCATTTGCTCATTTCACATTGCAGAATGGCAAGACCTGGGAAAGCCGTGTATGTTACAGGTGATTTGATGCTGCTAAATCGAAACACTGATGATGAAAATGCAAAAAAAAGTCAATGTGTTAGACTTGAAAGGATCCATAAACTTTAAAAATTGTGTCGTTCACCATAAAACTCCTAGAAGAGAATGTAGGCAAAACGCTCTCTGGCATAAACTGTAGCAATGTTTTCTTAGGTCAGTCTCCCAAGGCAATAGAAATAAGAAAAATAAACAAATGGAACCTAATCAAACTTACAAGCTTTTGCAAAGCAAAGGAAACCATAAACAAAACAAAAAGACAACCTATGGACTGGGAGAAAATATTTGCAAATGATGCAACTGACAAGGGCTTATACAAAATATACAAACAGTTCCTACAACTCAAGAACATAAAACAAACAACCCCATCGAAAAATGGGCAGAAGGCCTAAATAGATATTTCTCCAAAGAAAACACACAGACGGCCAATAGGCACATGAAAAGATGCTCAACATTGCTAATTATTAGAGAAATGCAAATCAAAACTACAGTGAGGTACCACCTCACACCAGTCAGAATGGCTATCATCAAAAAGTCTACAAATAATAAATGCTGGAGAGGGTGTGGAGAAAAGAGAACTCTCCTACACTGCTGGTGGGAATGTACATTGGTGTAGCCACTATGGAAACCAGCATGGAGGTTCCTCAAAAAACTAAAAAAAGAGTTGCCATATGATCCAGCAATCCCACTCCTAGGCATACATCCAGACAAAACTCTAATTCGAAAAGATACATGCACCCCTGTGTTCACAGTAGCACTATTTACAATAGCCAAGACATGGAAACCACCTACATGTCCATCGACAGAGGAGTGGGTAAAGAAGATGTAGTCTATATATACAATGGAATACTACTCAGCCATAAAAAAGAATGAAATAATGCCATTTGCATCAACGTGGATGGACCTAGAGACTATCATACTAGGTGAAGTAAGTCAGAAAGAGAAAGACAAATACTATATGATATCACTTATATGTGGAATGTAAAATATGACACAAATTAACTTATCTACAAAACAGAAACAGACTCACAGATATAGAGAACAAACTTGTGGTTGCCAAGGCGGGGTGGGGGAGGGAAGGACTGGGAGTTTTGGATTAGCAGATGCAAACTATTATATATAGGATATATAGCACAAGGAACTATATTCAATATCCTGTGATTATCCATAATGCAAAAGAATATGAAAAAGAATATATATATGTATGTATAACTGAACACTTTGCTGTACAGCAGAAATTAACACAACATTGTAAATCAACTATACTTCAAAAAATTTTTTTTAAATTGTGTCACTTTAGGTCTTAAAATAAAATGTATGTTATAAAAATGAAAGACCCAAAGAGCTGGCTGCTTGTATGGAAGAGGTCACCTCACAGGGTTTTCCCAGCTTCCTGGAGGGTCTGCTGTCGCTGGGGAGGGACCCTACCCTTAGGTCGGCAGAGAGCAGCTGTGAGCTGGCACCACTCAGTTCTGATGGCAGAACCCTAATTCAGACAATTTCAGGACAAACTTGTCACTGGGAACTTCTTTGAATGGCTGGTCAGAGCCAGAAGCCAATTAACATGATTGGAAACAAGCAGTAGCATTTTTTCCCCTCCCAAATAAATTGAGGTCAACGATTAAATCAGTTCTGTAAAGTGCCATTCTTCTGCTTCACCCAGACAAACCATTTTTCTCGCTGGATAAGTAGCTAAGAATGATAACCAGGCAACCTCTCCTCTCTTGCTCTGGGAAGAACTGAGAGGTGGAAGGCTCAGGCAGCTGGTGGAGGATTAGAACTTGTGGTGAATGTCTGCACTTTCTGGCTGCCCAGTATCTGGACTTTCTGCTCATCCAGGGTGGGGGTAGAGGTGAGGGATCTCACAGCAGGTGCAGGCGACCTGTCCACTCCTCAGAAGCTGAAGGTCTGGGAGTTCCTTGGTGGGCTAGTGGTTAGGATTTGGGCTGTCACTGCCATGGCCCAGGTTCAATTCCTGGATGGAGAACTGAGAAGATCCCGCAAGCCACGCGGTATGGCCAAAAAAAAAAAAGAACAAGAAGAAGCTGAAGATCCCACCCTCCCCACCAAGGACTCGTTTGTAGTTAGATGTGAAAATTCAACAAGGCAACTGCTGTCCCTGGTTCTGAATTTTGAGACCGATATTTTTAAAAACCTGTTTCAACACAAATCAGCTCTGGACTAACCCACAGGAAGCTGTGGGGCTGTGGGGTAAGCATTAGTCTGGGATGGTCTATGGAATTGCAGTGACTCAGCCCCTTCTTACCATGTTGGGCAAGATACCTGATCTTAGGGAGGCTACTTACCTCCCTGAGCCTCAGCTTTCTCATCCCATCCTTATCTCACTAGGAAGAAGGGCAGATGGAAAGGGAAGGGAATTTTCAGGACAAGAGCAGTGCAGTTGAAGGTCCAGTGACTAGATCACTGGGTAATGGCGCACTAAACTTCCCTGCCAGGCTGTCTGGGATGGCATCTTGGCCAGGCCCAGCTTCCTGGTTCCCATCCAAGCTAGGTTTCCCAGCCAGGAACATAATTCTGTGAGCTACTGTGACCTTCCAATCAAGCCTTTTTCTGCTCAGGTAACCTGAGTCAGTTTCTGTTGCTTGCACCCAAGAACCTCCAACCAGTCCGAAATGCTCATTTGTGAGGCTGGCTAAACGAAAGGAAAATACAAACAGAACCCTTACAAGTGGTAAGGGGCAGCTGGGTGTTCTGGGGAGGCTACAGCCAATTAGAGCCTGCACTTGTTGGGTTCCCTGATGCCCACCTCTCAGGAGAGTGTGTCCAGGTGGGAGTAGGAGCTGCAGGGCCCACATTTCTCCAGGGGGACGGATAAAATA